GGAGGAGGACGAGGAGGAGGAGCAGGAGGAGGAGGAAGAAAATAATGGGGAGACTGAGGCGAAGACTGAGGTGGAGGCGGAGGCGGAGGCGGAGCGGAGGAGGAGGAGGCGGAGGAGGAGGAGAAGTAGGAGGAGGAGGAGGAGGAGGACGAGGAGGAGGACGAGGAGGAGGAGCAGGAGGAGGAGAAGGAGGAGGATAGGATGATGATGATGATGAGGAGGAGGAGGAGGCGGAGGAGCAGGAGGTGGATGGAGGAGGAGGAGAAGGAAGGAGGATGGTGGAGGGAAGAGGAGGGAGGAGGAGGGAGGAGGATGGAGGAGGGGGGAGAAGACGGAGGAGGAGGAGATGAGGAGGAGGACCAGAGACGCCCAGGATGCACCAACGATGCTGCAATCTAACCATCCTGTTCCAAGCCCCCTCCTCAGGAACGCCTCCGGCCATTCCTCGTCAAAGCGGGAGTGTTCTTCTGAAAGGCGATCGCTCATTTGGGCGAGGGCTCTTTTGCTTATCTAATGGAGAATGCGAAGGTTTGGGGTCACACAGTTCAAGGAGAAGTCCAGCGAGCGTGCCGTTTTGGAGATGAGCCGTACTTCATCCGTGTAACCGTTGCGCAATCTTACTTTTCTGGTCATGATGTGAATGATCATGTGATAGGATATCTCGAGCGACAACCCCGCTTTGAAAAGGAGCCGCTTTCAATCCCTGTAACACCTGGAAGCTTTAACGACGGTGTGAGCGGCGCGAGGGCGAGAGCCACGGTTTGCGAACTACCCACCCTCCATCCTTGCAGCTATGAGGTTTCTCATGCTTCAGGCGCGGCGAAGAGTGCCTCGCCCCCCCTTGCCCATCCTATCGACTGCTTGGGGGTCCAACGCGGAGGAACGAGTTATCAGGGACAGGGATGCGGTAGGAAGGGGACGAAAGGGAGTAGGCCGAGTTATGTCAGCCCTGATAGTTGATCTGCCCTGGAGGTCGTAAGGGCGCACAGGCTGGTGCTAGCGGCGCGATCTTCTGTGTTCAATCGCATGCTGCTAGGCGTGCCTATGCGCGAGAGACAGTCCGACTTTCCTGTCGATCTCAGTGACTTCGACATCGCGGTCGTGAAGCGCTTCGTGCATTTCTTGTACGCTGACGAGGTGGACCAAGACACCCTCGTTAATCCAGACGCCCTGTGGCATTTGATCAAGCTCGGCCACAAGTGCGATTGGGGACAAACTCTTCCACAAGCCACGGCTGGGCTCGACCCAGCAGGAGGATAAGGATGAGGGGGGGACGGGGCAGCACTCGAGGAGGGAGAGGATGTGGAGGTTGAAGAGGAAGAGTGAGAACTAGGATGAAGATGCTGCTGCTGCTGATGATTCTGACTATGGTGATGATTATGATGATGATGGGGATGATGATGGTGACGTTGATGATGATGATGATGATGATGATGATGATGCTGATGATGATGATGATGATGATCATGATGATGATGACCTTGAGCTGCTGCTGCTGATGATGGTGGTGATGATGATGCTGATGCTGATGATGCTGATGATGATGCTGCTGATGATGATGCTGATGCTGATGCTGACGCTGGTGCTGCTGCTGCTGCAGTTGCTGGTGATGACGATGATGCTGCTGCTGCTGATGATGATGATGCTGTTGCTGCTGCTGATGATGATGATGACGATGTTGCTGCTGCTGCTGATGATGCTGATGATGATGATGATGCTGCTGCTGATGATGATGATAATAATGACATTTACGATGATGATGATGATGCTGATGATGATGATGATGATGATGATGATGATGATGATGATGATGCTGGTGGTGCTGATGCTGATGATAGTGGTTATGGTGGTGGTGATGATGCTGCTGATGCTGATGACTAGGATGATGGGTGTGGTGATGATGATGGTGATGATGATGATGATGATGGTGATGACGATGCTGATGATGATGGTGATGAAGATGATGCTGATGATGATGATGAGGATGCTGATAACGATGATGATGATGATGATGATGATGATGATGATGATGATGATGATGATGATGATGATGATGATGATGATGATGATGATGATGATGATGATGATTATGATGAGTATGAAGAAGATGATGGTGTTGATGATTTTGAATATGTTGGTGAGGTTGTTGATTACGGTGATGATGTGATCCTCACTTATCCCTCCTCCGTGTCCTATCTACTTCCTCTTACCTTCCGTACTCCCACTTTCCTCTCTCCTCCCTCCCTTCTCCCTCCTCCCTTGCCGTCTTGCCTCCTCGCCTCGTCTTTCCTTCTACCGTCCTCAGCCCCTCTCTCCGTCCTCGCGCTCCTCTTTCTTGCTCATCTCACCACCTCCTGAGCCGCAACAGGTACGACGTGGATTCGCTGGTGCAGCTCTGCTGCGCCCACATCGTGCTCGCCGAGGAGACGGTCATCGAGCCGACACTCCTGCTGGCTGAGCAGCTGGGCCTGACGGAGCTCAAGGAGCCCCCGCCCCTGCTGCGGCGGAGCCCGTTCTGGCCACGGTTCCCGCTACGCTCCCCCTTCAGCACTGCCTGCTCGCGGTACTCCTAGGACGAGGAAGAATGAGGATGAGTTTGAGAATGTGGATGAGGATGATGATGCTAAGGAGGAGGGGATGAGGGAGAATGTAGGAGGGAGGAGGAAGGAGAGGGGATGGAAAGGAGGAGGAGGAGGAGGAGGAGGCGGAGGAGAGGGAGGAGGAGGAGGAGGAGGATGAGAAGGAGCCGGATATGGAGGAGGACGAGGAGGATGATGATGATGATGATGAGGAGGAGCGAACTTAGCAAGCTCGTAATGCATCGACGATGCCGCAACCCATTCGTCCCAGGTTCCTGTCGAGTCCCTGCAAAAGCCTTCCTCTCACTGCGAGAAGTGCCCCGCTTAAAGGCGTGCCCCTTGTGGGCCTGCCCTTGAGGCGAGGGGCTCCGTTTTGATGAGGAGCTTCTTTGCATCCTTCTGCGGGCGATGTCACCTGCCTTGTTGTGTGTGTATGTATGTGTGTGTGTGTGTCTGTGTGTGTGTGTGTATGTGTGTGTGTGTGTGTGTGTGCGCGTCTGTGTGTGTGTGTGTGTGCGCGCGTTTGCGTGCATGTGCGTGTGTGTGTGTGTCTCTGTGTGTGTGTGCGTGTGTGTGTGTGTGCGTGTGTGTGTGTGTGTGTGTCCAGGGACAGCCCGCAGGACGGCCCAGACGCCGGAGGGAGGGGACACCTCGCTAGCAGATCAGAAGGGCTCCCAAGATGCCCTAGAGGGCTCTCATTGGCCGCCCTCGCTGCGTCGCTCGAGCAGACCCGAAACGACTGCGGCGGCGCTGATAACGATGCCCCCGCCCACTTTCCCCTGGACAACTCCGTCAGCGGGGCCCAGGCACAAGCCATCTCCGACTCCCTTCGGGACGACGGAACCACCCACTGCAACCATACAGCCTGGCTTGGTGAAGCCCTCGCTATCTGTATTCGACCACACTGCCGCCCGCTTCTCCCCCCCCTCCTCGTGATAAGGGGCATAAGCACGACCCCCTTCTCGATTCTGGCGTATTGGCTCGACAGAACTTCAGTCGTGACCCCCGACCTTCTCTGCGCCACGACCCATCAAGCTCTAATCAGCGTAAGCGACAGGCGGTACCAGCCCTGCGGACGGCTGGACCAACCCACCATACGGGCCACAGTTCGGCATCTGGCGGGAAGGGTGGCGATTGACCCCAATCGTAGCTCCTAATCGTAGCCCTAGCTGCAGCTATACGAAGTGCCAGGCCTCCGCCCAGACCCACCGTCTTTTTTACCTCTAACATCGACGTATGCCCCATCTGTCGGGACCCCCCCAACGACAGCATGTCCTCGATCATCCCCTGTGGTCACCAGGTCCACACCGAATGCCTCGCCAGAAGCAGGAACTATCAGACCCGTGGGTCATGGATCTGCCCTATATGCCGAGAGGAGGACAACGGTGACACCGTGGTTCCAACCCCACCCCGCTCCCCTGACTCCCACTCTGACGCTGGCCCAGACGTGCCCATGGAACCGCCGCATCAAGACGACCACCCTGGCCCGCGCTTCCGGCCCCCGGTCTCAAACGACGAGCTGAGCAACACAGCCAGGTTCCTCGGCCTGACGCAATCCGTCCCTCCCGGCCTGGAGAGTGATCCGGACAGGTACTCCCTGGCCCTGACGGATGCGCACCTCTCGCTCGGCCCTCGCGACCAGACCGCCGTCCGCAATTGTGTGCGGCTTTTGCGAAGTCGCACTTGCCCCGCGCCTCAGTGTGCCAACAGGGCCCGCGACCTGCCGGCTGGGACGCGAGGAGGCCAGGAACATTCCCCAACACGCGCCGCACCATCCCCCGCCCAGGCTGCCCCTTCCCCCTAAGGACTGCTGACAGACTGCGCGAGGTCCCTCTCGTCACGCCCGATAGATGGGCGGGAATCGTGGCGAGACGTCCACCTCGTGCCGACCGCCGCCCCCCAAGGACTGGGTTCCCCCCATGGCTATTTGTCCCAGCCGCCAGGGAAGTTGGAGCCGTCCCTGTCATCTCACCAAGGGCCCACATAGGACAAACTGAAGCCGAACAAGGAGAGCTCACCTTCACCTTCCCTGGGCCAGTCGCGCTGGATCACCTACGGAGCGCGCGCGCTGACCACAGACAGGCAAGAACCGAGGCTGAAGACGGCTATGGTTCCCGCCGCCAGTCATCCTTCTGATCGACGTCAACGCAAGCCAGCTTGACAGCGCCGCAGGGGCAGCTTCTGTCGATGGCACCCCCTGTGCCCCGCTTGCCCTCGCCATGGATGGATCCACCTCTCCCAGAGGACCGGGCCCAGTGTTCCTTATGGCATTTGCCCACACCATGTGGGGTGAGCGGGCCGTTGGCCGAGCGCGACGCTTGACTCCGGTCGGTGCCCCCTTTTCGCACAGCCAGGGGAACCCAGGCAAGTGCAGATCCTCGCCCTTCAAATCGGCTTCACCGACCGCCCCATGAGGTCCCTGCACGCTCCCGGGGTGCTAGTACACTGGGGAATGCGTCGCCTAGACAAGGTATTCTCTGAACGTCGCCACCCCTGAATTCACCAACGTACACGTCGTGGCCACCATCGCCCACTGGCAACACGCATGCAGAGCAGCAGGCGACCACCTCGAATTGGCCACCACGGCCATCCAGCTCCCCCGCAACCCGGACTTCCTCCAGGCAGGAATGGAAGCCTTAGCCCACCACCCGGTGAGGATTTTCACTAACAGCGCTGACCCCGACAGAGCCGCAGCCGCAGCACGAGCTCTTGATCAAATGTTCGCTCAAGCCCAACAGCTCAACCGCTCTGAAATCCCGGCCAGCGTATGGCGCCTCAGCGGCACCGCTGAGGCCGTTCGGGCAGGCGCCCCCCCGCTCACCTACGAGCGTGCTACTAGTGCCGCGGCCGCTTTCGGCCACGTAATGGGAGTTACAGCTAATGGGCTACTTCTCCTTGGCTCCTCCGCCCGCGTAGCTGCGCCCGTATTGAGACATCTGGAGGAAGTGCTGCCGCGGGCTTCAGCAGACCACGGGTAGCAGTTGGGTGCGGCAGTTCGGTCAATCCCTCCTGAAATCTTCCTGAGGAAGGTTTTACGAAGGTTTTTAGAAGGGTTCTTCAAAAAAGCCCTCCTGAGGGAGGTTTTAGGCAGGTTTTTAGGAAGGTTCTTCGAATCAGCCCTCCTGAAGGAGGTTTTAGGAAGGTTTTAAGGAAGGTTCTTCCAAAACGCCCTCCTCAGGAAGGTTTTAGGAAGGTTTTTAGGTTCTTCAAAAAACTTTCCTGGGGAAAGTTTTAGGAAGGTGTTTAGGAAGGTTCTTCCAAATACCTTCCTGAGGAAGGTTTTAGGAGGGTTTTTTAGGAAGGTTCTTCCAACAGAAACTCCCGAGGAAGGCTTACGAAGGTTTTTAGGAAGGCTCTTCCAACCAAACCTTCCTGAGGAAGGTTTTAGGAGGGTTTTCAGGGAGGTTCTTCAAACAAGCACTCCTGAGGAAGGTTTCAGGAAGGTGTTCAGGGAGGTTCTTCCAACAAAAACCTCCCGTAAGGAATGTGCTTAGGAAGGCTCTTCCCAAAACACCTTCCTGAATAAGGTTTTAGGACGGTTTTTAGGAAGTTTCTTTTTTTTTGGGGGGGGGGGGGAGAACATCCTCCCGAGGAATATCTTAGGATTGCGTTTAGGAAGGTTCTTCCCACACATCCTCCTGAGGAAGATTCCAGGAAGGTTTTTAGGAAGGTTTTTCCAACAAAAACCCTCCTGAGGAATGTTTTAGGAAGGTAGGAAGGTTCTTCCAAAAACCCTCCTGAGGAATATTTTTAGGAAGGTTTGTAGGAAGGTTCTTCCAAGAAAGCTCTTCTGAGGAAGGTTTTAGGAAGTTTTTGAAGAAGGTTCTTCCAAAAAACCCTTCCCGAGGAAGGTTTATGAAGGTTTTTCCAGAAAGCACCCTCCTGAGGAAGGTTTTAGGAAGGTTTTTAGGAAGGTTCTTACAACAAAACCTTACCGAGGAAGATTTTAGGAAGGTTCTTCCCCCCAAAACCCTCCAGAGGAAGTTTTTTTAGGAAGGTTTTCAGGAAGGTTCTTCGGAAGGTTTTCAGGAAGGTTCTTCAAACAAACGGGGGGGCCAGGGCCGAGGCAGGGGCCAGGGCCGGGACCACGGCCGAGGCCGGGAGCAGGGCCAAGGCCAGAGCTGGGGCTGGGGCCCGGTTCGGACTGCGGCTAGAGGCCCCGGCCCCGGCCCCGGCCCTGGCCGCGGTCCATCGATCCCTTCCTGGCCCCGGCCCCGGCTCCGGCTCCGGCGCCGGCCCCGGCGCGGGCCCCGGTTCCGGCCCCGAGCCAGGCTCCCCGGTCCCAGCGCCGGCCCGGCCCCGGCCCGGGCGCCTCGCAGGTCTCGACCTCGGCTCTCCAAGGCACTGCTGCACCGCTTTCGCTTCCAGCTCCCGCTGGGCCTTTCCCCGCCTGGGCGCTTGCCTCCCTAGCGACCGGCCCGGCTGCCTACCCCCGAGCTGCTGCCTCGCCGCCGCTGACCCGGCCCCCGGCGCCCCCCCGCCGCTGCCGGCCCCCTCCTGAGCGGGCTCGGCTCCTCCTCTCTTGCCCGAGCCAGGCCTCCTGTCCCTCCCCAGGGCATCGCGGCTGACTTCGCGTTTCGTGCATACCATACGCCCTATGGCCAGCGCAGTGTTTCTGCCTAGCCGCCGACGGAAAAGTGTGTGTGTGTGTGTGTGTGTGTGTGTTCACGCGCACGAGGCCACCTTGTTGGGCGGTCAACACGGCGATCCCAACCTGGTAACCTCCTACACGGCTGAGCATCTCACTAGCTTCCTGGCCAATATCCCTATATCATGGATGTTTACTGCTACGCATGAGACCCAGGCGGGAAACCAAGGTCCTCAGAAACGCGGCGCCTCACGGGATCTCGGCCACGCTGCGCCTCACGGGAAACCAAGGTCTCAGAAAGGTCCAGAACTGCGCGCCGCCAAGGATTTCTCACGCCTTTTCGCCCCTTCCCGCGTCCTTTCAGGAAGTACGGCGACGCCGCCCTCCACCCGAGGCTGAAAAAAGGGCTACCTTGTCCAACACGCAAGCGGCTGTACACTGTTGCTGACATCGCCGCAGCACCCGCTCCCGTGGCTTTCCCCACTACCGCGCACGCGTCGCTGCATGCGACTCTCCGCGCGCTGTCAGCAGCAACAGCTGCAGTGCTGTCCCGCGCGGTGCGCCAGCTGCAAGTGTGCGAGAGTGCTTCCCCCGTCTGCGACCAGCATGGACCCATGCCGCGCGGAAGCTCTTCCGCTGGGTGTGCTCTTTCGCGCCCCCCTGCGATGCTCTCGCGCCCTGTCCATCGTACGCTTGACCCGGTCCAAGGAGGCTTCGACCTGACGCTGCCCCCTTCCCTGCTCCAGGACCGTGGGGGGGATGCTGGGGCCAGACGACGGAGCGCTGGGCCTCGCCCGCTGGGGCTACATGGCGCTGCTCGCTCGCTCGCATCGCGTGGCGCCCGCGGCGAGTCCACGCACGCCAGACGGACAACTGCGCGATCCGCGCAGCCCGGGTCAGCGTCACATCCTGCGCGATATTCCCGGTAAAAAGTTCCCCCCCCCAAGGGTTTTCTCGTTGGCGGTGGCCGCGTGAACACGCCGCCCAGGAGAGCCCTACCTTGGGGCACTGCCCATCTGCTCGCTTACGCCCCTGCCTCGGGCGACGACCCTGACGACGGCCCCGACAACGCCTTCCCGGTACTGGGCTGGATCCTGATGCTGCGGGGACGCCGCCGACGTCTAACCCTGCCCCCACGGTGACCCTGCCCGACGGTTGACGCGGACCACCCCCGGCCCGCCACCGCCCACCTCCGCACCTCGGGCGCCCCGCGGCTGCCCCTCCCCCCGGGGGCCGCCTCTCTCCTCTGGTCCTATGCTCGCCGCCTGTGGTCTGTCCGCCTCTGCGTCTGCTCCGCTCGGCCCGCGGCGGATTTGCGCGCGGCCTCCACTCCAGCGCACGGGCGCCTCCACGTCTCGCCGCGGCGATGCCCCCGTCTCGGCCTCTCGTTCCGCTGCAGCGCCGCTGCGCCTCGCTCGCCTCGCCTCTCCTGGCTGGCGCTGCTCCCTCGGAGCACCGCTGTGCTGCCCTGCCGGCTTTCTGTCTTTCCACCCTTCCCTCTGGCCCTCGCCACCGCCTACCCCGGATCGGCGTGCTCTCCGCACGGCCCCCGTCTCTGCTGCCTGACAGGGTGGCGTCACCCCTGGTCCACCCCTTGCCAACGTGTCGCCTTCAGCTGCAAGTCAGGAGCCCCCCAACAATCAATCGCAGCAGGCGCCCCGCGATCCGTGGGTGTCGTGGAAGCCATGGAGTGGAATGGAAACCGCAGACCCGTGGGTGAGGTGGGTCCGCCAGGGGAAGATGTGACGTCAAGAAGTGACGTCTCCGCACAAGAACTGGCACGCTGCGCTGGGCCCGCCCCCCTTTCTGCCCCCTGCCTTTGGTGTTGTGCCTCCTTTCCTTTCTCTCTCGCTCCGTCCTCGGCTATCTCCTCCCCTTCTTCGTGTCTTGTCTTGCCCTTCTGGTGTGTGGTGTCTCCCTTCTTCCCCGCGGCTCCCCCTCAGTCGGTCGGCCCGTGTCCCTCGCGTCCGTCCGTCTTCTCCCTCGGCTGTCCGCTGTCGCTCCTCGCTCCTCGTTTCTCCCTCTCTTTGCTTGGTCCCCGTTTCCTCTTGCCCTTGCCTTGCTGGCCCCTGGTCGTTTTGATTCTGGCCGCATTCGGCTTCTGATCGTGCGAGCTCCTTGGTGGCACTGCCCTGTGTGGGGCCGGCCGCTCCCTTTACCCTTGGCGTTCGCGCGTCGGCGACTTCTTTGAACGGCGTGGCGCTGCGCCCGCCCACGGACGACCGAAAAGTCTGTGTGTGTGGTGGTTTGGGGGAGGGTTGTCGGGTGGGTTGTGGGGAGGAGGGTTCCACGACCCGCCCTTTGTGAACTTCGATGCTGCCAGCGTTCTTCTCCAGGCAGACCGAACACCCTGCAAGGGGCCTGGGGCCCAACATGTGAGCACGTTCGGCTCGATGTATGGGGGGTTACCAGGCTACTGGCGATTACTTCGCGGGGAGTAGATATCAAGACCGACACCTGCCAGGGGACGGAGCAGTGGCAGGTGTGTGGCGCCCCCCCGCTACATTGCACGCGCTGGTGACGCCCACAGCGCTGGAGGAGGAACGTGTGTTCAGCCACCACCAATCATCAATCTATGCTGCCTTAGCGTCGGGTCCGCTGTTGTGGTGCTGCCGCGGCCTGTAGGTCTAGCACTCCGCCAATGCTGTGTGTCGCTGGTGCGCAGGGAAGACCCTGGTTATCGTTACGCCAGGCCGTAGCTCTCAGCGTTACCCCCAGCCAGACCGGCTGGTCTGGCAGCCTTGCAGTTCTTGCCTCAATGGCTAATTCGCGCCGGACTGCTGCCCGCGCTTCAACTCCTGACGTCGAGCCACGCTCCGCGGGAGGAGTGGCC